AGATAGTTTTGATAAACAGCAATTTCCTCAGCTTCTGTTCATGACTCAGCATTCCTGTTATAAGCTACAGACAATACTAAGGTAACATCAGGCCCTTGTGGGATGAGGTAAAATTTAAAGTGAGTAAGAATTGCGATGCATGGCTGTCTCTGTTTGCAATACGCAGTGCTGTTGTAACCATGTTGTGTCAGTCCCAGGATATCAGAGAGACAATGAGTGTAGTAATATCTTTTATTGGACCAACTTTTCTTGGTGAGAGAGACAAGCTTTTGAGCTACCCAGAGTGCAGGACCTGAGGAAGAGCTCAGGGATAGTTCAAAAGCTTGTCTCTCTCAGCAACAGAAGTTGGTCCAAAAAGAGATTACCTCACTCACATTGTCTCTCTGTTTGCAATGGCTGTTTGTCTGTTAGAAAGAGATTCTTAATACATCTGCTCCAAGATATCAACAAACAAGCTAGTCTCATGGGTTCAGCTGAAGCTGAAGACATGCAGACCCAAACTAAACTGTTCTTTCAAGACTTCCCTAAAGTCTGAGTTTCTACAACTTTTTCCTGCAACTATTCCAGAGGGAAAATGCAATGTTCACTCCAGGAAAACCTCTGCTTTAATTAAATCAGCATTCTGCTCCCTGGGGTAGGGGAGTAGCAGGGAAGCAAAGGGAATGCAGGGACTGCTGACCTGAGAGGGCTTTGCGCAGACCATGGGAAGGCTTCTTGTTTTTCCTTCCCTGCACAGCCAACACCAATGGCTTGCCCACAATCTGGCCCTAGATATTTTGAAGTGAATACTGTGTTCCCAGAAGTTGCCAGCCTGACTGCAGTAGATACTCAATTCATCTACTCATCGACACAACAAATATGCTATGGGCATTGGGTTATGGACGTTTCTCCCATAATAATGCTGCCTTGCCAATGTATTTCAGTCCTGTTCAACACGGACCAGCACACGAGAAGTAATTCAGTTTATGGTTATGAAAGTGTTGCTTTTTCCACAGAAACGCCTGAATAAGATTGTGGCTTGTAATGGCAGGTTTTGTGTAGGGCTGTCAAGCGATTAAAAAAATTAATTGCACTGTTAAACAACAATAGAATACCATTTATTTAAATATTTCTGGATGTTTTCTACATTTTCAAATATATTGATTTCATTTACAACACAGAATACAAAGTGTACACTGGCAAAGAGTCCTGTGGCACCTTATAGACTAACAGACATGCTCACTTTATATTTATTTTTGATTAGAAGTATTTTCACTGTATAAAAACAAAAGAAATAGTATTTTTCAATTCACCTAATACAAGTACTGTAGTGCAATCTCTTTATCATGAAAGTTGAACTTACAAATGTAGAATTATGTACAAAAAAAATGCATTCAAAAATAAAACAATGTAAAATTTTACAGCCTGCAAGTCCACTTAGTCCTACTTCTTGTTCAGCCAATCGCTCAGACAAACAAGTTTGTTTACGTTTGCAGAAGATAATGCTGCCCGCTTCTTGTTTACAATGTCACCTGAAAGTGAGAACAGGCGTTCTCATGGCACTTTTGTAGCTGGCACTGTAAGGTATTTATGTGCCAGATGTGCTAAAGATTCATATGTCTCTTCATGCTTCAACCACCATTCTAGGGGACATGTGTCCATGCTGATGACGGGTTCTGCCAGATAATGATCCAAAGCTGCGTGGACTGATGCATGTTCATTTTCATTATCTGAGTCAGATGTCATCAGCAGAAGGTTGATTTTCTTTTCTGGTGGTTCGGGTTCTGTAGTTTTTGCATCAGAGTGTTGCTCTTTTAAGACGTCTGAAACCATGCTCCACACCTTGTCCGTCTCAGATTTGACAAGGCACTTCAGATTCTTAAACCGTGGGTCGAGTGATGTAGCTATCTTTAGAAATCTCACATTGGTACCTTCTTTGTGTTTTGTCAAATCTGCAGTGAAAGTGTTCTTAAAATGAATGACATGTGCTCATGGGTCATCATTCGAGACTGCTATAACATGAAATATGTGGCAGAATGCAGGTAAAATAGAACGGAGACATACAATTCTCCCCAAAGGAGTTCGGTCACAAATGTAATTAACGCATTATTTTTTTAACAAGCGTCATCAGCATGGAAGCATGTCCTCTGGAGTGATGGCCGAAGCACAAAGGGGTCTACGAATGTTTAGCATATCTGGCACATAAATACATTGCAATGCCGGCTACAAAAGTACCATGCAAATCCCTGTGCTCACTGTCTGATGACATTGTAAATAAGAAGTGGGCAGCATTATCTCCCGTTAATGTAAACAAACTTGTTTGTCTTAGCGATTGGCTGAACAAAAAGTAGGACTGAGTGGACTTGTAGTCACTAAAGTTTTACATTGTTTTGTTTTTGAGTGCAGTAATGTAACAAAAAAAATCTACATTTGTAAGTTGCACTTTCACGACAAAGAGATTGCACTACAGTACTTGTATGAGGTGAATTGAAAAATACCGTTTCTTTTGTTTATCATTTTTACAGTGCAAATATTTGCAATAAACAACATACACTTTGATTTCAATTACAACACAGATTATATGAAAATGTAGAAAAATATCCAAAATGTTTAATAAACAATAGCATACCAATTGAAATTTAACAGATTAATTTCTTTATTTGTGATTAATTTTTTTGAGATAATCGCATGAGTTAACTGCGATTAATTGACAGCCCTAGTTTTGTGGTGTAGAGTTGGGTAAAATTTTCAGAAGCGCCTATGTGACCTAGGAGGTTAAGTCCCATTTTCAAAAGTCACCAGGGAACTTCAATGAGACTTAGGCTCCTAAGTGCCAAAGTCAGTTTTGAAAATGGGAGTCAGGAACTTTCTGAAAATTTTACCCATTATCCATGAGGAAACAAACTGAGCCTATAAACTCACTTGACATAAGTCACCAAACAGCTGTTAGATGATCACAGCTTTCCACAAGTGATCTAGACTTCTTCAGTGGAGACTCAGATTCTTAAAATTTTAATTTATTAATTATTTTTAAAAGACTGTGTCCTGCTACTCATTCTCTTAACCATCAAATCTCTCCAAGTTCAGGGGTAAGGAAGGCAAAATTAAACATCGACACAAAATATGGCACTGACACCATTAGGCCACACCTGTAAACAAAAAACCAATTGTGCTAAACCACTGTGCCTCTCAACAAGTTTTACTTGGAGACGCCAATTATGAAAAGACCATAGGTCTAAATTTTCAAGTGAATGGGCTAGACTTACATATTCATATACAAATGCCTCTTTGTATGTGTTTTGCATTAAATATTGATTTATTTCTCATACTGTATATCTGTTCTGAACTTCAAAATTTACTTTTTCAGACTAAGGTGTCTTAAAACTTCAAAATAAGTTAGAATTAATAAGTGGCTCAAGACCATCAGTCTTATTTATAATGTAATGGCTTTCCATCTCTCTGCACTAATCTCTAACACTCTTTATTACTCAGCAATTCAGACACAAACCATATTCATTTAGAAGGCATTTTTAAATTAGCCATATTAAATATCATACTTAAATTATATTCTAAATTGACAGGGAGCCATAAAACCGTGCAGGTCTGGATCTTTCTGATCCATACTTTTTCCTTTTAAAAGGAACAAACAAAACTATACAGAGTCTCAAATTATGAGGTTTTTCAAACTTTGCAGATAACATTTTCCTCGTTATACCACAGTGAATTTAATGTATAGAATCATAGAAATGTAGGGTTGGAAGGGACCTCAAGAAGTCATCTAGTCCAGCCCTTGCGCTGAGACAGGATCATTTGATTAGTTAACAGGAACAGAAGATACTCTGACTTAGTTGGCTTTAGGAATATTATTATTCTTTTATTGGATTCAGCTTTCCTGGTGGTTTCACGTTTGAACCAAGAGCCCCCTAGGAAATACGTAATATCAGCAATCATTAGTTTGAGCAGCATGTTTGTGCCACGCTTCCCTTCACTGGAATTTAGCAATATGAAATACGACTGCATTAATATATTACCAGCTTTGAACTCTTTAAAACAAAAACAGCTGCCACAATAAGTCCCAGCCTTAGCGCAGTAGTATTCACGTGTTTAGTCTATCAATTTCTTTAGGAAGACAGCCAAAGAGTCAGAGCCTCGCAGTGACAACTCTTCTGGTGAAAGCTGTATGTGAAATCTGATCAAGACTTGAGTGATTTTTCTGGATCCAGAAACGCTAAACCTCTACAGTCTTTCTCATGTTTTGTTGCCATATACGTCTACTCAAAATCACAGGAGAAGCAGTAAGAAGTCCCTTACCCTAGTCTGATAAAACAACACAGAGCATCCATCTCCTAAGCATCATGCAAAATATACAATAACTTCCCCACTGCCACTGATCAATGACTAAACAATTTTTAGACACAAACTAATAATGGGCTCTCTTTAAATGTTCACTCATTCAGCATGACAATGAATGAAGATTTATAGTTCCAATTTAACCATTAAAACTAGTCTCTCCTACAGTTTGGCTACTGCCGAAGCAGCCTCAGAGGCTCATCACAAGGTTGAAATGCTCATGTGCTGTTTATTACTTGTGCCCCACTGTCATGGGGGCATCACAAGCACAAGCTGCTTCCTGCTGAATAAGAGCTCTGTGGTGGTAACCACTTGATCAGCCCTGTTGAATCAAGGGGTCGTCCCCTTTCTCACAGCCCCGCCAGGGAATATCACAGGTAGTCCACACCATCCTACTCAACAGGAAAACTTTATTCACTCTCCTCCCTCTGACTCAGGTCACAAATACATGTCGCAGTTCTGAGCACCATACTTACCTCTGCTCCATGCCCTGAAGGATAAAATCCAACCAGTTAGTTGGGAGCAAGAATTTGGGGTTGGGAAAAGAAGGCTGCACAGTGAGTCTTGGGCCGTACCACCATTTTATTGAAACTAATACATGTATTGGAACCTTCAATTTGCTTGAACTGGCCCTGCCTCTTTCTTTTAAAAACCCAAACCAAAACACTTACCTGTGAAGGCAGGTCACTTGGATTAAGGTCTGGCACCCCACCATCTGAACGGCGAGACCTGTACCGTCCCTCAGAGTCTGCATTTCGAAACCGATCCTCTGTGTTGCTTGCCTCTGGCTGTGAGCTGTCAACCTCCAGAGGTGTGTGGTGTCCATTCTCCTGCTCTGAATTCTGGCTGTCTTTGCTTTCCTTGCTGTCCTTACTGGCTGGAGTTCTGGCAATGACCCCAAACTTTCTAGTTCTTTTCCCATTTTGAGCGGCTCTGTCACTTCGCTCCGAGGCAGGCTTTGCTTTGGGTTCACAGCTGTTGCTGTTGTTGCCATTTGATGGAGGAAGAGGGGCTTTGCGCTTAATGCGACGGAACATGATCAGGTAGATAAAGCCGCCATTCCAGCACTGATCAGCCAGGTAGCTGCGAGCAACAGAAAAGTTTGGATTATGAACAGATTGTCCTATAAAGTTCATACTGAAAATACAGTCAACAGGTATAAACTTCGCTAGGTATTGATGCACTTTCTAACATGATTCTTTGCCTAGTTAAATGCAATGATATATTGAACACCTTAAAGCATCAGCAAATGATCTCTGCAGTTGGTATTAGAAATTGTGAGATGTTCAGGCTCACAAGGGAGTTCTGTGCTCTTGCTTCAAATAAGGCTATTTTGCAAACAGTCCCAAAAAGGCATGCCATGCTCAAGGAGAAAATATTCCCCAATCACAAAAATGCTTCTTGCATACGAATTAGAGAAGATGCATCTGAAACAGGGAGTTTAAAAAAACAACAACAAAGCCTGGAAACAGGCTAATCACATTTTGGTATTCATGACAACTGGCAAAAACCACTCAGCTGGTCATCTTCCACAATTCAAACTCTGAATGCGAGACAGGTGTTTAGGCAGCACAATGAGATGACAGAGCGAAGCAAAAAACAAAGAAAACATTTTTCCCTCTCCAATGGAAACAAAAAATACCAGCCAGGCTTCATTTGTGCAGCAGCCCTCACAGTATTTGCATCTGAAATGAAGCCTTTTCCTTGAGATACATCTTCAGTTTTGGCTTGGGTACACGTGCCCTAGACCTTGGGGCAAATCCACTGTTTCTGTAAGTAGGCTCCAATTGCCCCAGTACAGCAAAACACTATGCTATAACCTATGATGTTCCTACTGGGTCCAATAAAAGGACAAGGAAATAAGGTGCGTTTCCTTTCATGACGTCTATTCTGATGGAAAGCGAGGTGATCTGAGCAGTGGAAGTAGCAGCCATAAGTAGCAACACACGTATTTACAAAATATCACTCCCACTCTCACCATCTGAGTGACACTTTACATCAATGTATTTCTACTTCAGGCAAAAAACAATTACCTCTAAGGAGCGGCACTCATTTATTCCAAAAGCGAATTTGGGTTCCTGTGTATTTAGGGACAACATATACCTCAACCTAAATTCTTTAAATATTTGGCTTTCAAGCCAAGAGTGTAACCAACTGAGAGAACAAATAAGCTTGAATTTGTACTTAACATATTTGTATGAATCCCTTCTGGTAGGTCCCATGCTAACTTAGGTTACACTGCCTACTTTGCTGGTGAAAGCAGAAAATGCTTCCAAGAATATCAAACAAACCATTCTCCAACAGCAATGAACATTCACTAACGCGGAGCTGTTGGTAAACGTACAGTAACATCACCTTCTTGAGAGGTGAAAGTAGATGCCAGTTAAAGGAACTAAGGTGTAAAGATCTTTAGATGAAATAATATGGCATTTGCGGATGTGAGAGAAGTAGTCAGGGACTGACTGTCAGAGACACAGAGTCAAAGAGATTAAGGCCAGAAGGGACCCCAAGATCACCTATATGGTACAGGCCACCAACACAACCCAGCACCTGCACACTAAACTGAACAACCACAATTAGACCAAAGTATTACAGCCCATAGAAGATTATCATGTGCCACAGGCAGAGAGTGGGGGGGACCAAAGCACATCACTGCTTGAGGCCCCTGCACTGGGAATTAAGTGAGAGATACCCAGACAAATCAGACGTGTGGCCTGCACTCCAGGATGCAGAGGAAGGCGAAAAAAACCCCAAGGGCCCTACCAAACTGACATGGCAAAAATTCCTTCCCAACCCCACATATGGAAATCAGTTAGATCCTGAGCATGTGAACAGCCAGCCAAGCACATGAGAGAGAGAATGATTTCCCACCCCAAATGACTTGCACAATACATCTGTACTGTTAATGCTGACCAGCTGTGCTGCCTGCCACCCCCCCCTTCCCCCCAATCCCAGCTGCCATCCAGCTGAGCTGGGCTCGTTGCACTGCCAGGGACGCTCAGAGAGAGCATGCAGGGGAGGAGCATGGGAAGCCTAAAGCCTGTTTATGAGTGAGGAGGGGTTGTTTGAGTGGCAAGGGTGAGTGACTGAGCGAGCGGCAAACTTTGGTGGTGGGTTCTTTGGTAATTCTTAGTGTATGAAAGAATGGACTAGGCATTGCTGGGTGAGTGGAGGAGGCATGCTGAGATGGAAGAGGCAATGAAAGCTGGAGAGGGAACTGGTTAGTTTGTAGTTTCAGTCCAGTTCTTTCTTATGGTTAGGTGTCCCTGTCATAAAATCCCACCGTCACAATTGGCCCTCATCAGTAAGGCTCTGATTTTTAAAGGTATTTAGACATTGCTCCACTCAACACTGCAAGGCCTACATGACTTATGAGCCTAACTCTCAGTTTCAAAAGTGACTCGGGCATTTACCCATTAAAAGGTCATGGGACTTAGGAGACCAAATATTAGAAAAAGAGACTAATTAGGCTCCTAAGTCACTTAGGCCCTACAATGCTGAATGACAGAATGCTTAAATACTTTTCAAAACTTGTGCCTATATTTCATCAGGGAGACCAATGATTAAAGAAACATGGTAACCACAGGCCCCATCTCATCAGAGATGGCCCCTTCAGAACAAAATTGAAGCACAATGAGTAAGTGGGGCAGGAAAGTCTGTATTGATAATGGCTACGCCGTATCTTCTCAGTGAACATGCAGAGGACTTCAGTCACCAGGATTATAAATTCAGCATCTTTCACAAGCACTGTAGTCATTTTTAAAAATAAAAAATAAAAACCATCTTTCTTTCTCAATCGGCTGGAAGTAGGCAACACAGTACACGAGCCTATACTAGCGTGGAAAATCTTGGCAGGGTTGGTCACTAATGCATCCAGAGGAGACTGGACCCAAAGGGTTAGATTATAACATTCCAGAAATAAACAGATATTTTGATTATTAAGACTTTTTCCCACCCCCTCAAATCAAGGGAAGAGGGGCAGTTTTGTTCCAGAAACAGTATGGGCTGCCCGGTTTTCACATTTATCTTTCAAGTTCAACTTTCAAGGCAGCCAGCAACGTTGATTAAAATTCATGACTTTTGCTTGCAGCAATACCATTGCACTCTGATCCATCACATATAAACTTGATAGCATTGCTTGTCCTGAAGGAGAGAAACGGAAGAGTGTCTCCTGCTCTAATAAGCCTATGGTCTGTTTTGCCTGCCATGCCGTTCACATACATACATTTCTCTGCATTAATAATTGCATGCTTTTTTAAGCACTGGTAATAGAGTACTTCCATCAGACAAATATAAATTCACCAACAAGATGAAATGACAGAGAATACAGCAGACAAATACCTGTTAAGTCCAGAAAAAATAAAGTTATAAAACGTATTGCAAATGAAGCAATTTTATACAGCAAAACAAAATATTATCTCTCTACCATTGTATATTCTTTTGTGACATGTTAGTTTTATTCATAATGTGTAAGATAAATGCTTTGGGGAAAGGATATAATATTCTAAAGGTTCATTTTATAAATATTCAGTCCACTGTTGGTTCAAGGATATGCTTAGAGACACAGGGCCAGATTCTCAGTTGATGTAAATGGATGTAATTCCCTTGACTTCCATGAAACTACAATGCTTTACTTTATGAAGATCTGGCCCACATACTCCAGTCATGAGAACTGTAGTAACTCATGTTTCTATGTTCCCTTGATTGCTTCAGGGCAGTTCTGTGAATGCACTATATTTCTATGAAAGATGAAAAAAAGTTTACACAGAAGAACAAATGAGTCTCTCTGAATAGCAATAGCCAGGCCAGCAGCCATACCACTTCAGGCAATGATCTTGTCAGATCTTCCAGGCTTAGGGAAAACTATGTGCTGGAAAAACAGGTGTCAATGATTCAGTAGGTGGCACTGTTCATTCTGAGTCACCGTTGATTCAACGCCCAAGCAACCCCGTGTTGGAAGAACTATGCTGATGGTGCAACACTCAGCTGTCTTTTTGTGGAGATAGACAACCAAGGTCCTGATCATTTGTGGTCATTTAATATAGAATGACTTCTTTTTTTTTGGGGGGGGGGGGGGGCGGAGTGAACAAGGATAAGATTGTTACTCAAACTCCTAAATTAAATTTCAATTTGGCTAACTACAGTCTGCCTACTTTTGCTTCTTTTTCCTTTACAGCTTCTTTTCCTGCTTTTCTAACGTTAAGTCTGAGGAAGGTGGAAAATCCCCTAAAATTGATCTTCAAGTTGATCTGCTTCAGTGCAAGGCAGGAATCAACCAGGAAGCCTGCCTGCAGAGCTCAGAATGGGGCAAAGCAGTAAGTACACTTTCCTCTGTCCTGATTGGACACCATCAAGTCTATACCAATGACAATCATGCCACAGAAAACTATCTGACATGTTTTTGGGGGGAGAAATAGGAAGGTTTTTTTAAAAAAATTTTTAAAGTATTTTGTGTATCTTAAGACTAATTACATTAATATTAAGATATAATAAACCAGAAAAGATAACAGTAGACTAACAAAAGCATGGAAAAGAAATTAACCCAATCCTACCAAAATGCACTGGTTGGTGAGGAGGAGCATCCCACGCCAGAAGACAAATAAGGGCTGGATTCAGTAAAATACCTGTTTAGCTTCTGCACTGCAGAAGCCTCTGCAAAAGTGATGCTGGATCCAAAATTCCACTTGTCAGGGTTTCTAAAGAACAGAAACCAGACAAACTTTTTACTGAATCTGGCACCAACAGAGTATTCACTGGGTTTTTAAAAATTCAAATACCAGATGGATTTCAGAAACAGAGTTGCAATGTTATGGGGGGGGGGGGTGCGCCTCTCATCACAGATTTAGAAGTACTAGCTTCGACAGCATACCACGAGGTCTTAATATTACTGATCTTGAAGAATGCAAGACATTTTATTAGTGCATAACACAATGCTGTTAATATGTTACAGAAACGAAATGCTTTACTAGAGCCATATTTGCCCAATTTTCTGTAGCAATGCTGACATTCACTAAATCATTTCAGGATGATGCAGCGGGCCCCCTCACACAGAAGAAAAGCCACAGCTCCCCTGCACAAAGAAG